AACCCTGTCTGAGGGCAGGCAAAACCCCTCAGCTATGGTGAACTTTCATGCCGAATTACAGAGCTGCCTGTGAAGTTCAGTTCTGACTTCTGAGGTCTAAGATAATGAGGAAGAGGAAAAAGGAGTCATAAAGATAAAGTTCTTGTGGGCTGGGGTTTTGCTAGATGAACGAAAACACATTTGAATGTATGCTAAAATCCATATTTGGGAAAATGCTCACTACAGAGAGATGGACCGTTCTACAAATGGTCCAAAGGACTTCAACTGAATTCAGAGAACTCTCCAGAGCCATCACTTTTGACTCAAGCTAAGCATACTAGACAAACTCCTGTACAAGTGGAAAAGGAAAGACTAATGAACATTTTTCGAGCTGCTTCTATATGCCAAACACTGTATAAAGTGCTTTACATGCATTCTCTCTCTTAATCCTCACAATAGCACTATAAATTAGGCACTGTTATTCTTTCCATCTTACAGATGAGAAAACTGTGGCTTGAGAAGTTAGGTAACATTAACACTAAGTGAAGAAATAAGTACTTAAATCCAAGGTCTTTCTATTACACCACGCTAGGATGATTCAGTGCTCAAGGCACATAAAAATCAAGTTCTCAAGGCAGAAGATATCTTCCAACATTTTCAACATTTTTTTTTTGCTTCTATCAAACTTAAAAAACAAAAAGTACTTTGGCATCCACGCTAAGTCCAGCTGACCCTTTGTTTGGTTCTTCACACTTGAGCAGGACCCATCTTCTTTTGATACATATCCATTTGGGGGCGCTATAGTCCAATAGGATCATGCCTGGGCTGGGAATAAAAATACATGAACTCATTAAATTAACCACATGTAGTTGAAAAAATGACTGTGACATTTACCTCACTATTCCTTGGGTTTTCCCCTGCAAAAGGATAAAGTTTGATTATGACAACAACAGGCTATGATAGATGTGAAATATCCCACATATAGGCCATTGTAATATGCAACTTTAAGGTCCCTTCTCAGGACCAGGCCCACTCCCTAGCCAAAGGCCCGTAGGATTCAGTCTGCCTTTTCTGCTTCCCCAAAGTGCCTTCACCATTTCGATCCACTTGGAGTTCTTTCTCATTAATATTCCCCTTCCTTCATTCTGCAGAGTGGGAAACGATCTCAATACTCCAGAAGACAATCGCAGTAGTTCTTTTTATGTAACCTGTTATATCATTACTAAAGGAATCCTTCCCTACAGGCAGTGACTATTTATTGCATGGGCCAGAATCAGAAGAAAGCAAGGATCATGCAATTTTTCTGTTTTATTAAAGACTGCTCTGGCACGATATATAAGGCTTCATAGGAATGAATGGTGGTCATTGTAATAGCCTTGTGCCTGCCTTATAATGCCTCAATTACTCAATCATCAACGGTTGCCCCAATGCAAAGGACAGCTTGTGCTGATGCTATAGTACATAGTCTGACCATTACTAGCCTTTCCCCCCACTCTGCTTATACCTATTCTAATATTACGAGCCTCATCTTCAAGGATCTTGAAGTCATATCTCCATTTACTTTGCTGTTGCCATTTCTTTTTGATAACTCGGTTCAAGATTTTTCTCTTCAGGCTTACAGGGAGGAACTATCTTCACATCTCTTCACATAGGTTTAATCTCTGCCTCCTTCTCCTAAAATTCTCTTTGTGGTTCTTCTTGAACTTCTGTTTGACAATCATGGAGCTATTCTTAATGTGTAGCCAAAGAATGTATGTGAGAATGAAGCCTGATAAAAATTAACTGCACTTAAATACACAGGCAGTTAGTAAGAAGCTTCAGCATATTTGTTAAGTCCTGGCACTCATTTTGAGCAAACAAATAAGTTTACTGAGACTTCACCCTTCCCAGATAACTTTCTATTTGAAGCTCAGTAAACCTGCAACTATCTCACCTCAGAATGAACTGAAAAGGTGCAACAAGATTTCCAAAAAGGCATTTGACTAGAAGAATTAAAGTGTAAAGCAGTCTTCTTCTTTCTTTCTTTTAACTTATCTTTATTGTTGAAAGTCCCCCCTTTTTAAATAAAAGTTCCCCCTTTTTAAAAATAAGATTGTTTTCCTCTGCACTCTAAGTCCTATGATTGACCTGTGACAAATTTTTCACATATCTCTTTCTTTATGTCTTTTTTAAAAAGCAAACTCATGACAGGATCTTATTAGAGTGACACTAGGAGCTTGAAGAATAATAGAACAGCAAAGAAAGAACAAGCTTGAAGAATGATGTTCAGATTCCATCCTTCTGTTGCTACTAGTAACTATCCAGAGGAGGAAAGTGGTAGAACATTGATGCTTCAGTTGCTCTGAATTCGTGAGACAAATAATCAGATGGGACATCCCTCAGGAAGAAAATCGGTACATTGGCACCAACAGGCTAGCTCGGAGTAGCCTCCACTCTGTGTACATCTCTGCTTGTCAAATTCCCCCTCTCTGGGACCTGTTTCCCAGCTTAATTTATAAAATTGATGTCAATGTCAAAATGGTTGATTATTTGAGGTCAGCATAACACTGGGCAATGGAAAATCAAGTACAGGGAATAGGGACAATATGTTCTACACTTGCATAATAGTATCATTTCTTTTGAGGAGACATAGGAACCAAATGGCAGAAATTTGGGGCTCTTAGGATTCTGAGGGAAAACAAAATGACCTTGGCATCCAAAAAATAAGTTCCAAAGACTGACTGAAGTTATTACCCACAATATTACATTCTGCCCTGTGGGAACACAAGTGTGTCTGCAGTCCATTTAGGATTAACCTTTTCAGGACTGCTGGAGAATCAATTGGGTCTTAACTTCTCTCTCTGAGCTGCCTTAGGCTCTAGAGGTTTCCACTAAATGGAACCTTCTATTCCAAAGAAGCTTTGTGCAGGACAGTCAGCTGTGCAACTGTGGCTTATTTACCTACGCTTCTGGCTTAGATTCCTGTGAATTTGAGAAATGGAGAAGACAGCCCCTCCCAGAGAACACACAAGCCCAGCCCAGCCCAGCAGGACTTAGTGTGGGTGGGGTCCATCCAGGGCATCAAACATGACAGTCCAGAAAGGGACTGAACTCTGAAACTAGCCAAGGCCTGCTTCCTTCTCCTCTGTGCTTCTCTTCTCTTCAATTGCTCCTGCTTTGTACACACGACCAGATGGAGGCAGTTGTGAAAATTCCAGAAGCCCAAGATTCCAAGCTGACACTGCTTCAGGAATTGTGGAAGTTTTAAAGAAGTGAGCAGCTTAGTTCAAAAGGATGTTCATCAAAATGTTAATAATGGTTATTTCTGTAGAGTGGGATTACTGAAGATTTTAATTTTCTCTTTGTGGTTGGCTAAAGTTTCCATCATAACCATGTATTATTTGTGTACATTTTAAAACTTCTCTTTAAAAAGGTAACCTTCCTCAATGAGTCATTTTTATTTCCCTGGTGCTCTATCTCCAAGCACTGTAGAACAGCCCAGAAAGTGTACAGAAAACACCCACGTGGGGAGTTTTCCAGTTCCAGCATTATTGTTCTTGAAAATCATGGGGAGATAAGGCAAAGGATGAAGGTATGAATAGACTTTATCAGCAGGAAAATACTTCAGGTGATTCAGATGAATAGAGTTTGTGAAAATACTATTTACAGTGAGTGGTCAGGGTTACAGGAAATAACAAGGGATAGTTAAGTATGAGTAGGGAAACTAAATTACGAACCCTAGAGTCAAGAGGTCAAGGGAAGTGATAGAGTTACCAGAGCCCAGTGAGTGCTAGAATCATGGAGGAGGAGGAGCCCAGGAGGTGCTCTACAGGTATGCAGCTCCTGCAGAGTCCAGCGCCAGAGCAGGGAGGGAGTGGAGAAGAAACACTCTGAACCCCTCTTCCCACTATTAGATCTCTTACCATTTCTACCCCCTCATAAAGCCTATCTACAAACCAAAAGGCAAGGGAGCCAAGAATATATGGTCTGCAGGGGTAAACCTCCTAGGACAGAGAGGGAAGCTAGAAAGGACAGAAATGGGATGGGGTGGGGGCAAAGAATAATCAGCACAGTTCACCTTTTTTGTTACTCAGAAGCCATTCCTGTCCTTTGTGCAAACAAAGAACTTTCATCTCCAACACAGAGGAGACAACCAATTGATGTTTCTCTCACATCAATGTTTCTCTCTCGCTCAAATCAATTTTCAAAATTAGAATATATAAATGTAGATGTGTGTATGTGAATATATACACATTTAGATAAACAGCTAAAGAGATAAATATGCACAGACACACCCATACCCACCCACACACATACACACACACCCCTCTATATTTATTTTCTAGCTCTGTCCACTGAAAGGACCTATAAGCAATAACAGCCAATAGCAATGATCACACACAGCACTCAGATATTATTTTATTTTTAAAAATATATATTTTTATTGACTTCAGAGAGAGGGAGGGAGGAGAGAGAGA